CAAATAGTCTGGTAGTGCTTTATAGACTAACAAAACATGTAGATAGTATCATGAGCTTTTGTGGGCACAGCCCACTTCTTCAGTCATCTGTGCCCACGGAAAGCTCATGATACCATCTACATGTTTTGTTAGCTTTTAAAGTGCTACCAGACTATTCATTGTTTTTTAAGATTAACATTTTCTGTCAGCTCTGAAAAGTAGTTTACTGGTTTGTTACCCAGGTCCCTCTTTTTCTGCAAAAATACCATTAAACTGAATCAATACTCTGTGCTCACAGTACACCCCATATTTTAATATGAATGAATAATTCCTAGTTTTATCATTTTATAGGCTGATTGCAAACCAGGAATGTCCCAATGTTCAGTGCCTGGTGCAGTTGGGTTTTTATAGAAATGGTGTGTTGTCCTGGTTTTTACAAATCCCAGAAGATTGGCTGTTGGATAGCTTTATTGGTGACATTGATAGTTGGCTGAGTGAATGCTTATACATGTTGGGGATCACTCCCAGGTCATATGATGTTACCACCACAAGCTTCATGAAGCTTCTTAGGGAGTTCCTCTCTCAAGTTCACGCAACCACAAAGTCAGAGATTTTAACCAGTGCTGTGAGCGGAGAGCTTAATGGCAGCATGGTGCACAGAGAACCACTGACTAGACTGGAAACTAACACACAAAGTTCCACTGTCATGTGTCACAGGTGAGCAATGGATTGTGGCAGGGCAGGTAGACAGACTCTGAGGAGGAAGAGGAGAAAAAGAAAAGATTCGGAGTGTAGCAAAAAGAGGGAGAACAAGCAATGGTGATGTGGAAAGTAAGGCACAGAAAGGTAAAGGCCAAACATAAATGTATAAAATTAGGTTCTTAAATTCATATTCAGTCTCCAAAATGAATGCAGCATGATTTTCAGAAGTTCTGAGAAATTCCCTCTGAAGTCATGGGGAGCCAGAGGTGCTCAGTATCTGCCTATTTTGTTTCTTCTGGATACTATTCTGTTCCTGATCTGTGGTGGGTTTGTTCCTCTGTGTGCCCTGCTGTCAGTCTGCAGAGTGGTGGGAATGTGTGAATACACGACATAGTGTTAGGCATTTTGGGTACAGGAAAAATGTCTCATCAGCCACCTCTTTGCTTCTCAGTCCTCTCAGTGCTTGCAGCTTACTTTTGCGTCACTTGAATGACAGTCCCTGCTGCGAACTCCAGCATCTGCTATGAGAAATGCATTTAATAGGCAGAGGATGAAGACTTGGATGCGGATGACAATGTGAGTGAGAGGGATAGCATGGAAGTGGCATTGCATTTGGCTGTCACAGAGCAACTGAGCAGAGTAGAGTATCGCTTTTGGGTTAAGGAAACCAGCACTGAGTGGTAGGATCGCATTGTCATGCAAGTGTGGGCTGAAGATTAGTGGATACAGAACTTTCAGATGTGTAAAGCAACTTTCTTGGGGCTTGTGTGCTGAGCTGGCCCCTGAATTGTAGCATAAGGACATCCAAATGAGAGCTGCTGCTATCTTGGTAGAGAAGTGTGTTGCCATTGCTTTGTGCAAGCTGGCAATTCCCAATTGCTACCATTCAGTTGCAAATCAGTTTGGACTGGGGAAGTCTACCATTGGGACAGTACTTATGCAAGCATGCAGGGCAATAAATCACATTTTGCTGCCTAGGACTGTGACTTAGGGAAATGTGACTTGCTTCATTAGCATGCACTTTCTGAACTGTGGCGGGGCATTTGATGGCACACATATTCCCACTGCAGCACCACCCCACCTTGCCTCAGAGTACATCAGTCATAAGGGGTACTTCTCCATGGTGCTTCACATGCATGTGGATCACCATGAGCATTTCACACACATAAATGTGGGGTGGTCTGGAAGGATGCATGATGCACACAACTTCAAGAACAGTGGCCTGTACAAAAAGCTGTATGTTGGGACTTTGTTTCCAAACCAAAATATTACAATGGGAGATATGGAAATGCCCCTAGTGATCCTAGGTGACCCGCCTTACCCCTTAGGGTGTGTCTACACAGCACCCTTACCTCAAAATAAGCTTATTTTGAGGTAATTTTGAAATAAAGTGCTATTCCGACAAACCCCTTAACCCTCATGGAATGAGTGGAATCCTGTGCCAACTATTTTGAAATATATTTAGAAATAACTTTTTGCCTTGTGACTCTGTGCTCCCCCCCCCCACCTGTACTAGAACAACATACTACCCCACATGGCTGTCACCCGCATATCCCCTCACCCCTTGCCTGCACAGCAATTTACCCTGAGTTTCTTCCCTTGCTTCATTCTCCATGTACTGCTACTGAGAGACCTCACAAACACTAGGGTTTGAGAATAATTTCTCACTGCCTGGCGCACTAGTGCACTGGTTGTCACTGGACTGAGTCCCACCTCATCTGCTTCCATCTCTTCATTAGTAAAGTCTGTCTCCAGGATAACTCCTGCTTCTGACTCTGTACCATGGGATGTATCCACATTCTCCTTGGGTGTGGAAGTGGAGTCCCCTCCCCACCGGATTGTGTCCAGTTCTTTATAAAAATGGCATGTTTTGGGTGCAGCACCAGACCAGCTATTTGCCTCTTTCACCTTCTGGTACACCTGCCAGAGTTCCTTTATCTTGGCTCTGTAGGGTGTCTCACTCATACCCCTTCTCACACTGAGTTTGAGAAATGTGACCGTACATGTCCCAGTTCTTATGGGTCACTTGCAGTTGTGATTGCACCGATTCTTCACCCCACACATTGATAAGATCCAAAAGCAGCTGGAGGACAATAAACTCAGCAAGAAGCCTAATGTAGTACATACTACATACCTGTTGACAATAAAGGGAGGGAGAGAGACAAAAGTTCCGTGTAAAGGTGGAAATTTTTTGTTGCCCAAAATGGGCATTTGTCACAACTTTTGCTGTATTGCGATGTGAACACTCTCTGGGTTTTGTCGCCAAAAAGGAGTTTGTGGTAACAAAACTTGCAGTGTAGATAAGGCCTTAGAGTAGAAAGAAAATCTACATACCTGTTGACAATAAAGGGAGGGAGAGAGACAAAAGTTCCGTGTAAAGGTGGAAATTTTTTGTTGCCCAAAATGGGCATTTGTCACAACTTTTGCTGTATTGCGATGTGAACACTCTCTGGGTTTTGTCGCCAAAAAGGAGTTTGTGGTAACAAAACTTGCAGTGTAGATAAGGCCTTAGAGTAGAAAGAAAAT